TTAGTTATTGTTGTTTTTAAAAAATGTGCTATAGGGCACAGGTGCTCACCAGAGAAGAGAGCTGGAGAGAGAGAGGAGGAAAGTGAGAAATCAAGCCGGGAGGTCAGGGACTCAGACGGCAGTCAGCTCTGTGGGAGTCTAGCACCTTAATCACACTACCTGTTGGTCCCTGCAAATACTAACTTCTAAATACCATTCTCTATTGAAAGTAATCAGGGTTCCCTGGAGAACAGACTGACTCTAGAGCCAGCCAGGGAATGTACAAGATGAGCCTGGACCTTTGTTTGGCACTAGCAAGTGGGGAAAAAAACTGAAAGGTGCTTAAAGAATGATAGTGTCATGTCAAAAAGAACATAGAAACCAGCTTAAAGAGGATCACACTAGCTAAATTTGGGACACTCTAACCCTCAAAATAAATGATATAATCAGGGAGAGAAAAAGCTTTGTCAACAGTAGAATAACAACAAAAAATGTAAAAGGTTGGGACCAGCAGTTAGCGTAATGGCTATGTCGCTGGACTCCCATGTAGTCAACTGTGGTTCGCGTCCCGGACCTGGTGGCTTAAATTCACGCTGGGCGCGTGTGCGTGTGTGCCCAAGATCCCAAGAGGAGAAGGGATTGCGGCATGGCCATCCCCCCTGGGGGGTGATTTCTCACTTTCTGTCTCTCTGTCTGTCTAGTGAGTGCATGTGCCCTATAGAAAAAACAAAACAAAACAAAACAAAACTCTTAAAAAAAAAAGTAAAAGGTATTGTACAGCAACGTGAACATAATTAATGTAAGTGAAGCATACACTTGAAAATGGTTAAAAGCTTTATCTTTTCTATATTTTCCTACAATAAAAAAATAAAAGAGATAAATATAGAAGGAATGATACAATTAGAAAGTCCCCGTGACGACCAACACATAATAATTAATTTTATGGATTGTTGGAAAAGTCATGACATTACTTTCCTATGCAAAAATGCATCACAACTTTTCTGAAAATGCAATAAACAGAAATCTTAAAAAATATTAAAACTAGTAAACCAGCTTGATGAGGGACAGGATTATTACTATTACTTTTTGGCTTTGTTTTGTTTCGTTTTTTTAGAGATTTTTACTATAGAGTGCATGCTCTCACCAGAGAGACAGACAGAAAGTGAGAAATCACCCCCAGGCCTCACCACAATCCCTTTTCCTCCATTCTCCTCTTGGGATTTAGGGCATGTACACACAAGTGCCCAGCGATGAATTTTAAGCTGCAATGTCCAGGACTCAAACTGCGGTCAGTTACGCGCAAGTCCAGTGCCTTAAGCACCTGGTGGTCACAAGAGTGGTATTATTTATGTAATCTGACAGGAACTCCCTAGAAAGTACTTAGCAATTATAAATTATTTGTACAACGTATCATTAAGTAATTTAGGTAATTAAACCTAAAACTAAGAGCATATAATGGTTAAAAGTATAGAGGTGGGGGGACCAGCAGATGGTGTAATGGCTATGTCGCTGGAATCCCATATAGTTGACCATGGTTTGAGTCCTGGACCCGGAGGCTTAAACTCACATACCCGGCAGGCGCATGTGCGTACGTGCCCAAGAGACTGGAGGAGAAGGAACTGTGGCGTGGCCATCCCCCCTGCGGGGCGGTTTCTCGCTTTCTGTCTCTCTGTCTCTCACTGTCTTTCTGGTGAGCGTACACGCCCTATAGCAAAAACCTCACCAAAAAAAAGAGTATAGAGGTGGGGACCAGCAGGTGGTGTAATAACTATGTCACTGGACTCCCACATGGTTGAGCGTGGTTCCAGTCCTGGACCTGGTGGCTTGGAACTCATGCCAGTGCATGTGCGTGTGTGCCTAAGATCCTGAGGGAGAATAGAGAAGAAGGAATTGCAGCGTGGCCATCCCCCCGGGGGGTGATTTCTCACTGTCTGTCTGTCTGTCTCTATCTTCCCAGCGAGTGCATGCACCCTATAGCAAAATTCTCTCAAAAAAAAAAAAAAAAACAAAATTTCACCAAAAAAAAAAAAAAAAAAAAAAAAGTATAGCGAAGAACACAGATATACGAGGTAAAAATTAACCAAAAGGAAATTAATATAGCTGTATCGATGTCAGATAAATAGATCTTAAAGCAAAAAGCCAGAAATAAAGATAAAGGGCATAATTCATCAGGATGATATTAATAATTCTGGAGCTAGCCAGTGGCATGGTAGTGAAGGGAGCTGGGCCTTATGTATCTGACTGTTCAGTTAAGTCTCAGACTTGGCAGCTTGGGTGCAAGCTGGGTGCTTGGGTACACTGGCTGCGTGTGCTTGCATGCCAAAATTATGAGAGGAGAATGGAGTCAGTATTGGGGTGTGGCTATCCCTCTCTCACCCTCTCTCTCAAGCTCTATGACCTGTAGCAAATTAAAAAAAAAAAGAAAAAAAAAATCTGGGCCAGGTAGCAAATTAAAAAAAAAAAAAAAATTGGAAAAAAATCTGGGCCAGCAGGTGGTATGGTGGTTAAGGTACTAGACTCCCATATGACCCACAACAGTTTGAGTCCCAGAGCCGGCAGCTTGATTTCTCACTTTCCCTTTCTCTCTCTCTCGTCAAATTAATCAAATAATAAATAAAATAAAATGATTCTTGGGACCAGCAGATGGTGTAATGGTTATGTTGCTGGATTCCCACACATGGTTGACAGTGGTTTGAGTCCTGGACCCGGTGGGTCTCACACCAAGCGCATGCATGCCCATTCCCGCCTACGAGGGTGATATCTCCCTTTCTGTCTCTCTGGCAAGTGCACATGCCCTATAGCAAAAAAAAAAAAAAAATCTCTCAAAGAAAAAAATTCTTTAAAAAAAGTAAAAAAAAAAAATCTTAACACACAAGCGTAATATAATCTCACATACATTTAGCAAATTTGATAGAATTACAAGAAATCATTCAATGGGAGACAATGGGAGACAATGAGTGGGAACTTTCACATGCTTTCTTAATAACTGGTAGAGCAGATAAAAACTAGTAACATGAAGAATTTAAAAATGGGCTGGCAGGTGGTGTGGTGGTTGAAGCTCTGGACTTGCACATGGCCGACTGTGATTCTAGTCCTGGACCTGAAGTAGCTTGCTTTCTTACTTTCTTTCTCTTTCTGTTTCTTTCTCTCTGGCGAGTGCACATGCCCTGAAGCAAACTAAAAAATAATGATGATAAATAAAATTAAGTAATTCTTTTAAAAAATCCTAGGTGTATAAATGCAAATTCATTAAAAGAATTTAAAAACATCCTTAAGAAGCTTACCACAATGAGCAATTATAGACCCTAAAATTTAGAGACCATGCATCTTTTCAATGTACCAAAAACTATTTACAAAAAATGATCATAGCAGGCCTCAAAAGTCAAGACTCAGAAAAAAGAAAGAAAAAACAAAAATTTACAGGTGCTGATCAGAATCTCTTACCCTTGTACAATTAACTTATGGGGGGAGGGGCAGATAATCAGACTTATTTTTGGGGGGAGAGGTTTTTGCTATAGGGCATGTGCGCTTGCCAGAAAGACAGAGAGAGACAAAGAGACAGAGAGACAGAAAGCGAGAAATCACTCCCCAGGGGGGATGGCCAAGCTACGCTACAATTCCTTCTCCTCCATTCTCCTCTTGGACTCTTGGGCACACGCGCCTGGCATGAGTTTAAGCCACAGGGTCTGGGTCTCAAACTGTGGTTGACTACATGGGAGTCCAGTGAGGTAGCCATTACGCTATCTGCTGATCCCAGTAAAGAGACTTCTTGAGTTTCAAAATTAAAAAACAACATTGGCCAGCCTGTGGTGTGGTGACAGATGTAGCCGGATCCCACATTGCTGACTGTGAGGTTTAAGTCCCAGATCCAGCGACTTGAAAAACACACCCAGACCATGTGCAAGTATGCCCAAAATCCCAAGAGGAGAATGAAAGAGAGAGACTGTGGTGGCATGGCCAACCCCTCAGGGTGTTTTTTTCTCACTCATTGATGAGATCAAATACACTAGAGCAAGCCTAAACTAAATAAATGCAACACCAATAACACTTCCAAACAATTATGATAACACTTCTAAATAACTCATATATGTCTAAGCAAAAATAAACACAAAGTCACAGTGTCTGCATATCACCAAGCTGCACAGCGGGTACACAGGTTGTTCTCTGTATTATACTGAATATAATTTTCCACAGACTTAAAATATTTCAAAATTTCAAAAAACAAAAAAGCATGTATCAAAATTAACAAGATAATATTGATTTGTTTCTTTGACATCTGTGGCACTTACAAGCAAAATTAAATGAAAAATCAGAGGAAAGATTCCAAACAGCACAAAGAGCCACGGTCCAATAACCGGCTTCTCACCATAGCCACCTTCAGTACCTAACGTGCTGTCTGCAGAAGTTCCTCGGGGAGGAAAAATCATTACTCAGCTCAATAACTTAATTTGGTTTCAAATAATTGATTTTGTAATAATCAAATCTACCCCAAATAGCTTAAGATTTGCTCACACTGTTTCCCAAGGTAAACTACAGGCTTGAAGAAAATGCTAAAAAACAAGTTTAAGTATTCTGTATAATGGCAGCACTTCTAGTTAAAGTAAAAAACATGCTCTTTCCTTCATTCAGCCCAGCCACACCAACCTTCCAAAGAGCTACCTGAAAAGAGGCAGCTACCATTTGAATAAGCTTTGCTATGTGGTCCTTCAAAGATACTCTACAGCCTCAACTTTAAGTAGAAATTATTACATTATTCGAAAAATGCTTTCAATCTTACCGTAGATGAGGTTCATGATTTCTCAGTTCTGCTATATTTTACTCCTTAAGTTTGGTGACCTTAATTCTAACTGCATAAAACTATATTACATATAAAGTAAAACAAAAATTCATTTCTCTCCTAAGCTACTCAAGAAACTTAAAATTTACATACAGGTATCAAAATAATGAAAATGACAGGTTAGGGATCATATAAAGGAACATTAAAAATATCCATATTAGGTATAAATCAGATATATGTGTACCCAGCTTCACTCTATGCTGTTTCTCTTCTTCACTTCTAAGAAAGGTGTCAAGAGTCCGGAGGTCCGTCATGTAGTCTTCCTTGTCAGTAGGTGAGTTATAGACGGTGGGTGAAGACCGGTAGCGAGACCGCAACCCACTGCTCTCCACTGGCCCAACAGTGGCAGGGTAAGGAGAAGGAGGAGAGGGACTGAAGCTTGCCAACTGTACAAAATAAAAGAACTTTATTTTATTCTTCTTGAATTGATTTTTGACTTTTAAAAAATACCCCTAGGAAATGGCCAAAATCCAGAATACAAGCAGCACCAAGTGCTGGTGAGGCTGTGGAACAACAGGCCCTCCCATTCATTGCTGCAGGAAATGCAAAACGATACAGCCACTTTGGAAAAGTCTGGCAGTTTCTTCTAAAACTAAGTTAGTTAGTTAGTATATGATCTAGCAATTGTGCTCCTTGGTATACATTCAAAGGAGTAGAAAAACTTGTGTCCACACAAAAACTTGCACATGTTTATAGCAGGCTTATCCATAATTGGCCAAACGCAGAGACAGCCCAGATGTCCTCTAGCAGGTAAATAAACTGGGCTATATTCAGGCCATGGAGTATGATTCATGGCTAAGAAGACATGAACTATCAAGACATGGAAAGACACGAGGGAACCTTAAATGCATATTGCTAAGTGAAATTAGCCCATCTGAATGGCTATAGATGTATGACTCCAAGAATATGACGTTCTGAGGGACTAACAGTTAGTGTAATGGTTATGTCGCTGAACTCCCATGTAGCCGACTGCAGTTCGAGTCCTGGACCCAGTGGCTTAAACTCACGCCAGGTGCATGTGTGGGCGTGCGTGCCCAAGATCCTGGGAGGAGAATGGAGAAGGGATTGTGGCGTGGCCATCCCCCCTGGGGGGTGATTTTTTGCTTTCTGTCTTTCTGTCTTTCTGGCAAGTGCACGTGCCCTATAGCAAAAACCTCTCCAAAAAAAAAAAAAGAATATGACATTCTGAAAAAGGCAAAACTCTGGAGATAGTAAAGAGATCAGTGGAGGCCAGGAATTTGAGGGAAAAGGATGAATAAGTGGAGAATAGGGTAATTTTTACTTTGCATGTTTTATACTGGTAGATACTCATCATATGGAAAGTGTCTGTACTCTAGAATCAAACTGTAATAATTCCAGTTTTTATCATAAAAGATATGTGTGGCATCTTCAAAAATTTCATGGAAAACACATATTATGGGGACTAGCAGGTGGTGTGGTGGTTAAGGGCACTAGACTCCCACATGGCCAACTGCAGTTCAAGTCCTGGACCTGGCGGAGTGCTTTCTCACTTTTCCCCTCTCTCCCTCACTCTATCCCTCTCTGGTCAAATTAAAAATGAATAAATAAAGTTAAAGAAAATAATTCTTTATAAGAAAAATGCATATTATGAAAACAACACAGATTTAAAATCCTTTTTGCATTAAAATAAACTTGTACTTCCATTCCATTTTTCACAAACTTCTTGAAGACCCTTCATACTCTAACATGCTAAGAGCATGACCTTTACACAGACCTTTACATAAAGCAAAAAAAAAGTAAAAAATTATCTAGTTTAACTTGTTTTGAAGACTGCTGAGAGATGCTAGATACCGAATCTGTTTATTACTTTTGTAAATGCTTACTTTTTCATTCATTTTAAGATGTTAAGTGGGGCCATCAGTGGCATGGTGGTTAAGGGCTCTGGACTCCCACATGGCCAACCGTGATTCGTGATTCGAGTCCCAGACCAGGTGGCTTGCTTTCTCACTTTTCCTCTTTTACTCTCTCTGTCTCACTCTGTCCTTCTCTGGTCAAATTAAAATAAATAAAGTTAAGTAAACTAATTCTTAAAAAAAAAAAAAAAAAAAAAGATGTCATATAAAACTTCTGACTAGTTGTCAGGAAATGTGCATTCTACTCTTGGCTCTTAAATGGACAACTCAGATAAGTCAGCTACCCCGCTGTTCCTCAGTTTCCTTACACATAAAATGAGAAGTTTCTACTCATTAGACGTTTTTCTGTGCACCTTCCAATTTTAAAATAACGTGACTGGCTAAGAGAAAAAGAGTCATTACCTTATTATAACCACCGATGGGTGAGTAGGTCACTCCAGGGCTATAGGAACCACTGCCACCTGAGGACAGACCTTGCAGTTGAGGGCCGTATCCAGTCATGCAGCTGGTGGTGAACTTGGGACTGGTACTGGGTGAACGAGATGGACTGTAACTCAGCACACTCTGACCCTGAATTGAAGGGGACGGTGGAGATGGAGGGATCTGGGTTGCTGTCAGATCATGTGGAGGGGTAGTCTGGACAACTAGAAGGAGGGGGAGAATATAGATATGTATAAATAAAATTCCTATGAAAACAGATGTAAAGAACTTTTTCTTCTGGAAAAACAAAAGTAACAGTGACTTAGTTGTTTAATTACCTAACATACTATTACTGAAGGGCATGAATTAGTTATTTACCATTTCCAAAGTTCAAAATTAAGAACTGGCTTCAATGTAGCAAGTTAGTCATTATTTATTTATTTCTAGGTTTTTGCCATTGGGTAGGTGTGCTTGGTAATGACACAGTGAGAGGGAAAGTGAGAAATCACCCCAGAATCCTTTCTCCTCCTAGGATTTGGGCACACATGCACACATGCCTGGCGTGACTTTCAAGCCACTAGGTCCAGAACTCGAATTGCAGTCAGCTGTGTGCCTCAACCACCATGCCATCTGCTGGTCCCTAATTTTCTTTTCTTTTTTTATATTAAAAGACAGGGTCTTTATATTGCCTAGCACGGCCTTGAGCTTGTGATTTTCCTGCCTTAGCCTCTCCGAGTGGCTGAGATCACAGGAGTATGTAACCTTGTTGGACTTTGAAGTTAGATGGGAACTTAACTTAGGCCTTCCATGTGATTCCAACTTGTGAAGCACATCTCAGCAGCCTGGACCTCTGCAGCTGGGCCAGCTATTTAATTTTATTGTACCTGAACAATGGAACAAACTTCCACGAGGTTGCTGAATATTAATAATAATAAGGAATCGGGACCAGCAGTTAGCGTAATGGCTATGTCACTGGACTCCATGTAGTCAACTGCGGTTTCAGTCCCAGACCCGGTCGCTTAAACTCACGCCGGGCACATGTGCGTGCGTGCCCAAGATCCCAAGAGAAGAATGGAGGAGAAGGGATTGTAGTGTGTTCATCCCACCTGGGGGGGTGATTTCTCGTTTTCTGTCTCTCTCTTATCTTTCTGGCAAGCGCATGTGCTCTATAGCAAAAACCTCTCCAAAAAAAGAAAAAATAAATAATAATCAGGAATGATGATACCTGATTATTATTCCTATTTGTATAAATTGAATAGGAATGAACTGAATATCAATTTATACAAATAGGAATCACTGGTCTTAAGACAATTTATTGTAGACCTGCTTAACGTAAGAGTTGAACCAGATGGTCTCAGAAGTTCCTTCCAGCTCTGAGTCTGTGAAAGGGAAAATTAAACGGAGAAGATTTATTGCCAACCTTTTCTCCACCTTTGCAAAAGATATATAAAACACTTACCAGCTGTTTTCAACCCTAAGAGTGTTTGCTGTCCAGGGCTAACAACCAGACTTGTTGGTGCCACGGTGTATTTGAAGTATCTCCAAAAGTCAAATAAAGCATTAAGGCTGAAGAGGGATGCAAAGGCAAGCTCTGGAAGAGAAAATTTATTTTTTAAAAAAGAGAAAGTGAGGCCGTTTATTGAAAGAATACAAAAACCCGTCATACTTTAGCAAATTGACGACAAAATTGGAGACCACTTTATTCCGCATTACCATTTAATGAATGTCTATTATGTGTAGGGCTTTTTACTAGTGAGTTTTAAAATGGTACTAATCCTTATAACCACGTACAGTATTTTCAATTTCATCAAAAAGCTGAATCAACAGTCACTGAGAAGCTAGGCGACAGACCATACAGCTAGTGACGCCATGACTCTAATTCAGTCTATAGGTTCCAAATCTCTTTCTTTTCTACTTGACACACCACTTCTCTATGATAGACTTTACCGGAAGACTTTAAAAAGTTCACTGAAAAATGGAATTAAAATATCAATTTATTTTGTTGCAAAAGAATTGAAATCTAGGCAAAGTTCCCCCCCCCACTTTCCATAGTTTCTTCTATCTTTTACTTTCTGTAAACTTTTGATGATCCCCTGTAGATTACCATATATAGATTATGAAATTTACTTTAACATCCATAAGAGCTCTTTATACCCAAGGTCTATGGAAGAGCAGAGAGGAAGGAATGAGGAAATTGAGGAAGGCAGCAATGGAGTGGATATCTGGGTTGGCCTAGAAAGGTGAAAACGTGGAGGGGCGGGGAGAAAGCATGACAAGAGTAACGAGTACAAAGCTTACCACTCCAAACTTTATATTTCCTATACAGAATTCATAATTACCTGAAACTGTACTGCTTGTCTGGCTGACTCTTCTACTAGAATGCTCCTTCCATCATGGGAGGGTTTGAACTTGCTCCCTTCCTGCTATATTCCCAGTTTTGGGAACAAAATAGGTACTTAAATATTTATTTATTTAATTTTCCTTTTTTTTTTTTTTTTTGAGAGGTTTTTGCTATAGGGCACATGTACTCGCCAGAGTCAGAAAATGAGAAATCACCCCCCAAGGGGGATGGCCACACCACATTCCCTTCTCCTCCATTCTCCTGGGATCTTGGGCACGCACACACACACGCACACGCCCGGCGTGAGTTTAAGCCACTGGGTCCGGGACTCGAACCGCGGTCGACTACATGGTAGTAGTGACATAGTTATTATGCTAACTGCTGGTCCCCCTTAAATATGTATGGAATGAAGGAATGAATATTAAGCTGAATTAAACCTAAAGCAGTTTTTGATTAGTAATAAATCCCAATCACAGTGAAAATTACTTACCAATATACCAGAGAGGCCAGTATGTCACATTATAATATGAACTAATCAATTTTCCAGTCCTGAAAAAATTAGAAACGCTTTTCAGTAATTAAAAAGAACAAAACAAAAACAAAAAAACCTCTAAAATACCAAATATCAAAGCAGACACAAAAATCTGTAAAACTAGCCACTGGCTTCTTAAATGTTCATGTTTGGCTTATTAACTTACATTTCAGTATATATCATTCCAGCCATAGATACATTCAGGAGTCCCCAGGCTAAAACCACTTTCCTAGCTTCAGTTTCTTTTCTCATCTTGATAGTTCTGTCAATAAGGGAGGGACTAGGGCTTGGCTCCCCTTGCATCTATTCAAAAACAAAAAGCACAGGAATTAATCAAAAGAACCACTTCTTCGGACAAGTGACTAAAAAACTTCACATACATTCCCTTATCTTTAATGTTTTTACCATAATCTTTTCTGCTTCACTACTAGCATATGACAAAGGGAACCTTAAAATGAGACCTTCTTTGGCACCACGGTATAATCAATAAAGAACTGGCTGGTTATTTCGGAAAATGTCATACTTTCAATTAAAGTATGTCTCGTTTTGTAATTTAAGGGTTTGTGATGATGTCTGCAAATACCTATTTTTGTCTCTGGAGCATGGCACAAGGACCAAGACAAGGAGCAAAGAACTCAAAACACCAAGTTTGGGGAGTAAACACTCCATATACATCACACAGTAAGTCATGAAGACGCCCCTTCTATATCCTCAAGCAAAAACCACTCAGTAACTCTGCACTGGGCCCGCTGCGGGCCAGCGATCTCCTTTTGTGTGATCAAGTGTAAGGATTCCGTTTCAGAAGCCCGGGAATCCATCGTGTGAAGCAGGACGAGGGGGCGTGGGGAAAGTGTGCATTCCATTTTGGTCCACATTGGGATTTCCACCTCTTGTGTTTTGCTAGGCTCGACTCTTGCAGACAAACGGAAAACGTCTTCCAGCTACTGGGAGTCTTCTCCCACCTACCGCCGAGCGGTAACCCCGCCCCCCCAGGCCATAGGGCGTCCCTCCCCCAAGTCCCTCGGCACAAGTTTCAGCAACCCCTATCGCTTCGTTGCTCCTTTCCACTACGGGCAGCGGGACGCCGAGCCACATCCTCCCTCGGCTGAACCCGGGGCAAGGAAGCGCGAAACTCCCACAGCCCTCGTAGATTCCACGTTCAGGAAACACAAAGATGACCCCGAAAACGCACCATGTTCTCCAGCCGGAAGCCGCTGGCTCGCGCCCCTCTCCAACGTCCCTCACGGAAGCC